CTGAACTGTGCATGTAGAAATTTTTGAAACGGTGTATCTTTGGCTATGTGTATTTTCACCAAAAAAAAAAGGGTTGAGAAGTTAGAGGGTTAATACATTGTGGGGTTTTTAACCAATGTCATAAAACAACATGTGTACTACTGTTTCATGAGAAACTATTTGTTCTGTAAGCCTTCACCTGAAGTACAATATAAAAAAAAAGTAAAGGCACTTCCTTCATATTGTTTAGATACTGTATGGACAGCACCTGGCAGGTATGTAGATGTGCAAAAAGATAACAGTTTTCCATCCTCCCCAAATCAGTCCTCATCCCTTTGAATCATTTCTGTACAGTGGGAGGTCTAGGTTGGTTCCACAGTTGCTTGGGCAGACAAATGTACTTTGTAACTCCTCCATCAGTTCTCAAACTTCAGTTTGTACAAGAATCACCTGCATAGCTTGTTAAAATGCGAAGTCCCAGGCCCCACCCTACAGAGATTGAAGTTGAGGTAGAACCTAGAAATGTAAATTTTTAATCTTTATTAGAGTTTAAAATATACTTTTATTTCACTGTCATGGTGGCATCAAGATGTATTTGGAGATGTTTAGCCATGTTTGTTCATCAGTATAAAAAAAATCTGGCTACGAACTGCTATGTAACTAAAAATTTTAAGAAGATTACCCTGTTTTAAAATTTCCTTTATTTCCTTAGATCTTTATGAAACATTTCATCTTATGTAGGTCATAGTGCTTTATAACAGATTGATGTGTTCTTTTCCCGTCCCCTTAATACAAAAAAAAAAAAAATGTATTCAATCAGTTATTCTGACATTTCACTAAGTACAGGATTCATAATGTCAACATTATTAGATCAGTCATTTAAGTGGGTCCATATGTGTTCATCCTCATTGTGCCAAATACCCACTCAAAAAATAAGTTGAATAGTAGATGCCTCCAGGTGTATATAACCACCTTTGGTTTTTTTAAGTGAATTAGCCCTGTTTAACAGGTCAAATTGCTAGTCTACGTAAATAAACTAGAAAAGACTCAAGTGTGCAGCTGTACATATCATCAGATGGCAAGTTCATGTGAACAGAAACCTCTAACTAACCATACATTTGAACAGTTCTCTGCTACCACTGCAAAAGCCCCTCCGGAACAAAGCTATAGTTTGGAATTTAGAAGAAACCTGATGAGATAAAATAACAGGTGGCTTTTCTGTAGCAAAAATTAATTAAAACCATTTTTACTCAAGCAATTTTAAAGACCGAGTTTCAAATAAATATGCAAGCAAAGCCTCTAACTTTAGAAGATAAACTAGAAATATAAACTAGCAGTGAAGCAATAATCTCTTCCAATTAGTTCTCCAATCCCATTATTTAGATAATTATTTAGTGTTCATCTACGATTTTTGGAGTTTTTTTTTCTTTTTAATCTCCTTTTCTAACTGACAGTTGACCAGATATACCAACAAATAAACCTTAAATCATACTGCATGAAACAAATGACCTTTAATTCCTGATGAACCAGATTGAACTCCTTAATCTCTTAAAATCCCTGTGGGTATTTTGAAAACTTTTAAAAATTAAGTTATATTCTTATCCATTTGTTAGTCCACATTATTAATGAAAAACTCTTAGTGGTTTACATAAACATTTAAGTCTCGAACACTGGCGTGATCTGATTCAAGGTCTTGAGAAGGCTGTCTTGACTTCTTACTGTAGGACGTCACCACTGCCCTCTGTGGAGTGGAGGCAAATTTCCATATTTAAGTATAAAGAAAACTTCTGAGATTTCTCAGGCTTGGATTATAACCTTTTGTTAAGAAGAATGCCAAATATATATGCCAGTTGTTAAATTTTTATAAAACTGAACATGAAACAAAAAAATGAATTCGAGCTAAGCATACTTTTTGAGAATGAACGAGACATGATGAGACATGACACCCTTATCACTCATAATCAAAAACTTCAATTTCCTGCCTGAAACTGACTTGGTACAACATCTACAACTGATTTTAAGTAGTGTAAGATGACTTACATTTTAAAGGCCTATACAAACTTTTGAAAGCACTTATACACATTTTACAGTCAAAACTAATCTATGGAGCCCCTTTCCTTCCACATAAAATAGTCTTCACATATTTTGCAGTTGCCTTTACTGTGTTTTTTTTAATGTGTTTTTAATTTACGCCATCCTGGATATAAAATAGGATTTTTTTCCCCTATTTTGGATGCTTTAGGTAATTCTTAAGAACTTAAAATTATTAAATATTTGTACTTCATATGAAACTCTTCCTACATAGCTTCTGACCAGTAAAGAAATATTCCTTAGGCACTGTGAGGTGTATTAACAATGAAGCATGAACCCAGGCTGAAGTGTACAATTTGATTATAACTAGCAACAGTTAAAACGTTATCTTAGCTGCAGACAGCAAGAAATGCATTTACCCCACTACTCCTGAGATTCTTAAGAGGAAAAACTAATTTCACAGACAATCTTCAAAAGAATCCATATAGGTAATTCTAAGAACTACACATATAGGGTATTTAAAAAGTAGTTTTCTTTTGTAAGGCATCAATTATAGATGAATAGAATGCGTATCTAACATAAGATGGTTAACACTCGATACCATAAAGCCATTTATCTTTTAAATTTCTCTAATTTCTGCTACTTTTACCACCAGCTTAAATAAGAAGGCTCCTTGGCCTAATCAACTATGGTTATAAAAAAACTAAGACATCTGAAACTATTAGGCACATCAAAGGTACAGTTTATGTAGTTCAAGGTTCCCTTCTTAAGGAGCACATGAGTTACCTGGCACATCATACATATGGAACTGTAAAGATCATCCACTAAATTCAACTTTCACATTTTTAGTCAAACTGAAAGACTTAATAGTAAATATTCAAACATACCATATCTTCAGTTACAACTGAATAAATGTAACATTTTACCGATAAAAAGCCAGAGTTTAAGCATGAGAAACCTTCATACACTGTGCTAGTATTGGTCTCTTCTTTTTAGATGAAAGCCAGTCATCAATACTTTCAACACAGCAGTTTAGAAGTTAACGTCCAAAATAGGTGACTTGGTTGTAGTCCATAATTTAGCAATTCAATGCCACTGGCATCATAATGCTGTGGAGATCACATGTATCTCCAAATTTTAGTCCGATTTGTCTTTTTTCTTTCCTGTTAAGGGCACTTTGTTTACAACAGCAGACCCAACAGCTGTAACACCTCCAGCCACAGCAGACACACCCCCTTTCACCAGCCCTATTCCCATGGAAGGTACAGTTGTAACAGCTGTTTTGGTCACCTCCAGACTCTTTCCACCAATCCAAGCCACACCACCAATGGTGGCACCAACGGCTCCCTTTGTAACACTGAAGATACCCCCAGTCACACGGGACAACATGCCTGGTTGCTGCTGTGGGTGATCTTTCATTGAACCTAATGAAAGAAAATATCATGAGAAAGTCAAATACAAGTCTTTAAAAAGCGCTACAAAAAAAATTTTTTTAAATAAAAAGGGCACACAAATCACTAAGTAACCTTGCTTCCTAACAATCAGCAGGTTGATTTATCAAGCCAATCACATAAATACAAATGAACAGCTCTTCCCTCAAGACATATATAACAATTTATAGTTGTACACACGTTTTTAAAATACTTTTAGTATCTATTAGAGGAAATGCTTTAGAGACAAGACAACTTTTATAAAACAGAATCCTATTTTAAGTATTTCTTTGATGTAGCTTTGTAGTTGTTAATTAACCATCTTTACATTATATCCTAAAAGGGGCATGAACCCACTAGGATAGCTATTATCAGAAAATAAGAAATGTTGACAAGGATATAGGGAAACTGGAACCCTCATCCATTGCTTGTGGGATTGTAAAATGGTACCAACACTGTGGAAAACATTTTGGTGGCTCCTCAAAAAGTTAAACATAGAACTACCACATTACCCATCAATTTCACTCCTACATATATACCTTAAAGATTTGAAAGCAGGGACCCTAAAGATTTGAAAGCAGGGACTCGGACAGATACTGGTACACCAATACTGATTGCAGCATTATTCACAATAGCCAAAAGGTGGCAACAACTCAAGTGTTCAACAGAGGCACTGATCAATAAAATGTGGCATATACATACAATGGAATATTATTCAGCCATAAGAGAAATGAAGCTCTGATACATGCTACAACATTGATGAACCTTGAAAACATTACGCTGAGTAAACTAACTCAGACACAAAAGGACAAATATGGTATGATCCAATTTATATGAAATATCCAGAACAGGCAAATGCACAGAGATCAAAGTTTGTTAGTGGTCACCTGGGATGGGTGAGAGAGTGAGATGGGGAGGTACTGCTTAAAGGGTGCTGAGTTTCAGTTAAGGGTGATGAAAAATTTGGATAGTAGTGACGGTTGCACAACATGGGAAACATAATGTCACTGAATTGTACACGAAGAATGGTTGAAATGGCAAATGTTTTATTATATATTTCAACACAATTTTTAAAAAAGGAACATGAAGGAAAGAAAAGATAAATATATTTAGCCTTCATTTCCTTGATTAAAAAATTCAATCAATCATTACTGAAACAACTCTTTTTACTCAAAGCAACGGTTCTCAAGGTACGGTCTGGGGCCTCTGGGAAACCATGAGACCATTTCAGAGGTTCCATCAGGTATCATTTATTTCCATACTACTACTAAGATGTCATTTTGCCTTTTCAATTTCATTCTGTCACAAGTGTACAACAGTCTTCCAGAGGCTACATGACACGTGATAACAAAACAGGCTGAATGCCAAAGCAGCTTTGAGATCTAGTTGTTTTCTAATTAATCCAAACATTAAAGAGATTTGCAAAAATGCAAAAACAATGCCACCCTTCTTAAAATTTTTTTTTGTTTTGGAAAATAGTTACTTTTAATAAAAATATGCTAGTCATGTTAACTGTAGTGGGTTTATTGCGTTTTTTAAATGAACAAAATATATAAACTTCTCAGTTTTTATTGCTAATATACTAAATATTACCTATAACCCACAAAGACACAAGCTCTTTAGGGTCTCCAATTTTTGAGAGTGTAAAAGAGCCCTGAGACCAACAAGTTTGAGAACCACTGATTTAAATATTTGGGTTTCTGCTCTATGTGCTCCTTTGATGGTATTTAAAAAGCTAATGCTGTGTGAAAATAGGAAAACTTCATCACTTAAAATCATGTTACCTACTTGAAATTATTTGTATTTAGATGTTAAGTAAGTACTGACAAACTACAGCTAAGGTTAGCACTTAAATCACTGCCTCAGTGATTCTGATGGAACAGAGCCTGCTTTAAGCATCTAGTTTTTAAAAAAAACTCCATAGATACCCCACAGAAAGGTAACATCGATATGAAAAATTCAGATTTATCTAAATCACTGAGTCTCTTCTCTTTGGTTTATTTGTTTGGGTGTTTTGTTGTGTTTGTTTGTTGTTGTTTAAACAGAGCCACTGAAATTGACATGTAACCTCAAACTCAAACACAAAATGACTGGCAGGAAGACTTCATAAAAATTTGCTTGTGCCAGCCCCAAATGAGCACATGCCTTTTCTCCCTTTATAATCTAATGATTTAGGCAGCAGCAAGTGAGCAATGGTGTTTTTCTAAACTTCATGGGAAAATATTTGGCAAACTATACAATTCAGGTTTTAACCACTGAAAAAGTACAATCTCACACAATAAAGGTACATTCTTGGGCACATAAGTCCAAGTAAGATCACCAAAGCTATTAGATCCTAGCAGAATGAGGTTAGCAGAGAAGGTAACGTGGGGAAACTGAAAACATTTGACTATCGTGTCAATAGATGACTATCCTGACTCAGTACTGAAGTCACTCCTGAGGTTCACTCTTCAGCTAAAGATTAGCCAGGCCCATAAAACAAAATGAGACTAAATGGGCCCACCATCCCAAGGGCAAGGACGAGAAGGCAGGAGGAGACAGGAAAGCTGGTAATGGGGAACCCAAGGTCAAGAAGGGGAGAGTGTTGACATGTCATGGGGTTGGCAACCAATGTCACAAAACAATATGTGTATTAACTGTTAAATGAGAAACTAATATGCTCTGTAAACCTTCATCTAAAGCACAACAAAAAAATTTGAACCCCCAAAGTATATATATATGACTACCCTGTGCAAAAAGAAAAAAATCCTGAAAATTGAGTTTTTTCTAATATACAAGGCACAAGTTTACCCGGCGACAGTTTTTCCTTTTCATTGTTTGGAGATTTTACATCCTATCACAAGTGGGAAAACGTGTGTGTGTATGTATGCACACACAAAAAGAACATGCTACATGCATGCAACTGGCTGGATTTATAAAAACCAATCAAACATTTTTCTTATTAAAATTATTTGAGTGATAATCATAGTTAATATAAACCTTAAAATGGAAAAGGCTGAGGAGGCATTACTAGGCTGAAGATACAGGTGAACATTTGAATAGATTATGAAATTATGATGGAAAGGATTACATAATCAGTAATTCTTTTGTAATAAAGGTCAATGGCACTAGGAAAAGAGGGAAATTCTGATTTGAGAAATGAAACAGATAACTGCCTCATGCTGAATACCTTATAAGTAAAATTATTTTGTGTATATGCATTTAATGAAGACAAATAACTATTCCTAATCAAAGCAGATAAATATTTATGCTGCTGAAGTCTTTAATTACAGAGTACCAAACCAAACCCGTTGCTGTGGAGTCCAACTCATGGGGACCCCATGTGTTACAGAGTAGAACTGCTCCATGGGGTCGTCTTAGCTATAAACTTTATGGAAGCAGGTTACCCTGCCTCTCTTCCATGGTACCACTGGGTGGGTTTCAACCACCAACCTTTAGGTTAGTAGACAAGCGCAAACTGTTTGCACCACCCAGGGACCTTTACTTATGATTACCACCATATAAATTATCTGCTTTGTAGATTATTCTTATTTCGCAGGTTGACATATAGACAATCCTGTGGCTTTGTTCTCTTCCTTGACAATCATGCTCCTGGATGGCCTTTATTTATCATTTTTCTGACTTTTTTCTCACAAAGTCCTGGTTAATTTTCTCACTGAGCCCTAACTTTTCTTTTCAAAACTTCACAGTTCTAGTCCTAAAAAAATAAAAAGAGCTGAGCCAGTAATTTTCCAGACTCTTCCTCCACCAAAAACAAAAAGAAAACCCAAAGAGCTAAATTAACCCTAATCAGTTAAGTTACCTCCATCTTCTTTTGGCATTTAAGTATGAGCTTGTCATTTTGCATGTTTCCTAGCAATTTCATTTTTGCCTACCAGTGTAAGAAGAAATATAGGAAGAAAATTTCAGACAAGTCTCTAACAGAGCTAGGAAGAAAATACAATACCTAAAGTCACAACTTCTAGCCCTATCCTCTTCCCAGAGACATCCTAGTCTGTCTGCTACCCCATTTCTATCAGTCAGCCACTTCATCCATTTTCTCCAATTTCTTTTTTCAGATTTATAACTATCCTGTATAAACATGGAATTCTCCAAGGAGATCACAATATAGATTAATTTTAGTAATATTCCACACCAAAACCATAAATAAAAATGCCTGTAATAATCTTATATATACTCAGGACATTCATGTGTGCAGTTAGTGTTTCCAAGTAAGAATAAAATGATTCATGATGTCACAATTTTCAAACTAAGAGAGAACTATAATTTAGAAAAACAAATTAAACAGACCCCAAGACCATGTAGAAATATAAATACAATTACACTGATAATGAATAATGAGTTCATCAACAAATCTTCAGTGATTTTTTTTTTGTACACACTACATCAAAACTAAACATCGTTCATCCTTCCTCCCTACCCTACACCAAGTGAAAGGATATTCTCTTACTCATGAAATGGCCTTAAAAGAGTAAAAGAGTGATGGAAATACATAATAGTTATCATCAATATTAGTGTTTTCTTATTACAGGCTAAAAATGTTTATCTTCAATTATTTTCTGGAGTATATTTACTGACAAGGTAAATGAGTTACATTACTTTAAATTTAATAAAAACAATCAGAGCTTTAATTCACCAGAATATCTGTTCCACTCTTACTGTTGTAGATGTATTCTTACCTTCTGGTGGTTCATCACTAAGGTATGATGGGATTTCTTGTTGGTTTTTATCTGCCTGATTCATGGTCTCCTTTAAAAAAAAAAAAAATCATATTTCATTTTAACCTCAATATGTAAGACCAGCTCTTATCACACGCCGATTTAAGACTTAATCAACTTTATTCAGAAAAACATTTTAAAACACCTGCCAGAAGACTGCTACATCTCATCTCTCTCTAGTTCAAATTGCGGTGTTTAAGAAACGCTTTAAATTACACCAGTGGACAATAAAAATCTGATCTGAAACATCAAGCAGAGAGGTTATTGTTGTGTTTCAACTTAAACTGAAAATTACTAATTGAAAGAGAACTGGAAGGCTGGGGTTAGCTGGCTAAAATTTTAAGTGATTCCTCCTATAGGATATTGATTAACTCAGTTGCAGTTTATTTCATAATAGGCTTAAAGATAGGCCTATACCATAACTTAAAAGGTGTTCCATCTGAAAAAATTCTAAAAAAATTACATCCTTCACCTTTGAAGATGATACCACCAATACGAATCAGTAAGAGATGATTCTGATGACTTTTTATGTTTTTAGACCTTTAGGAACAGAAGCAACAACAGAATTCAAACATTATCTAAGAAAAAAAATATGTTCTATGATTACCTTTATGTAAAATAGAAAGAGCACGTAAGAGGTAAGGAAGGAGCCTCGGTGGCGCAGTGGTTAACTGCTCGGCTGCTAACCGAAAGGTCTGCAGTTGGAATCTACCACCCACTCTGTGGGAAAAAGATGTGGCAGTCTGCTTCCAGAAAGATTTCAGCCTAGGAAACCCTATGGGGCAGTTCTACTCTGTCCTATAGGGTCACTGTTGAGTCAGAACCGACTTGATGGCAATGGGTTTGGTTTTCTGGTTTTTAAGAAGTAGAGTAGAGTCCCTGGGGTTGCCACGAGTTAGAATCGACTCGACAGCAACTAGTTTTTAAGTAAGGTACGTTGGGATGAAGAAAACACGGTTAAACTTTCTCAATTTCCTTTACTGTCTTAACATATTTGCTTTTAAACTCACTTCACTAAGTTAAGATTAAAAAGTCTAAATGTGTTCTTTATGATACATTGTCTTGGTAGAACACTAGGGTTGTGATCCCACAGTCATCTAGTGTCTCCTAGTCATACAAACTTGGAGCCTAAGTTACTGTATTTCTCCATATACGACAGAGATTAAAAGGATATTGTGAAAACTAACAAATGATTAATTTTCTGGTAAGTACTTCAATACATTAATTAGCAAATATCGATTATCTCTACAGACCAGGCAATGTTTTAGGTGTACAGGATATTATAGTGATCAATACAGATCAAAAAAAAATCCCTACAAGCATGTAATGGACACTCTAGTTGGGGAAAACAAACAATAAACAAATATAACCAGTTGCCATCCACTCAGACTCATGGCAACCTCATGAATATCAGAGTAGAACTGTGCTCTACAGGGTTTGCAATGGCTGATTTTTCAGGAATAGATCACCAGGTCTTTCTTCTGAGGTAGCCCTGGGTGGACTCAAACCGCCACCCTTCGGGTTAGCAACAGAGCATGTTACCCCTTGGAATCCCCCAGGGACTCCAAACAAATATACAAAGACTACGAGGAACCCTAATGGCACAGAGGTTAAGCATTTAGCTGCTAACCTCAAGGTCAGCAGTTCAAACCCACCAGCCCCTCCACGGGAGAAAGGTGTGGCAGTCTGCTTCCGTAAGGATTTACAGCCTTGGAAACCCTATGAGGCAGTTCTGTGCTGTCCTATAGGGTCACATGAGTTGGAATTTGACTTGACGGCAATTGGTTTATACTATATGTCAGGTGATGTTAAAATGCTATGGAGAAAATATTTCACTGAGAAAAGGGACGCGGGGGGAAAGGATGTAGTATTTTAAATAGGCCAGTCTGTAAAGCGACCTCTCAAAGGAGGTAAGGAAACAAGACATCTGGGTAAAGACCCTTCAGGCAGAAGAAACAGCAAGAGCATAGGCCAAGGCAGGGCTTGCCTGGGGTGTTCTAGAAACAGCAAAAAGAGTATGGCTGGCCCATTTTAAAGGGCATAGGAGAGGAGGTCAGAGTGAGATCCACATGGACAGTCTGACATTTACTCTAAATGAGACAGGAAGCCAGCAAAAAGTATTTAACAGGGGAGGAATATGTTCTGATTTACATTTTTAAGAGATCTTTCTGGCTGCCGTGAGGAAAACAGGTAAGAGAGCAAGCATAGAGGCATAAAGCCCTGTCAGGAGAGTATTTCAATAATCCAGGCAAAAAAAATTGGTGGCTTGGATGAGGGTGGTAAAAGAGGTCATGAGAAAGTACAGATTTTCAAGGGTGATTTTTACTCCTATGATTCATCTTGCAATGTCTTTAATACCTAAATCCTGTGTAAAATGCAACTTCACTGTAGCCCACAGGAGTCCAGCAGCACATGCCATGTATTTAATAAATATCTTTTAGTTGCTCTAGTTGAAAACTCTATGGAGCAGTTCTACTCTGCACACATGGGGTTGCCGTGAGTTGGAATGGGCTCAGTGGTAATTAACAACAACAAATGAAAACTCTGGCTCAGGCCACATGTCAAGAGCACATATCTTATCCTGGTCTAGTCTGTCATCCCATACACACTTAAGGTTTAAAAAGCAATAGGACACATCATCTCTGACAAAAAAAAAAACAGCAAAAGAATATCAGCTGGTGCATTATTAAGAGGAGTTCTTTCTTAAATGCTTTGTCTTAATTTTAAAACTCCCTCAAACCAGAAAGTTACATTTATTTCCATTCATATTTAGAATTTCTTTGATATATCATCATGGTAAGATCATGACAAATCACACAGCATAGTGATTAAAGCTCTGGGATCAGAAAGCCCAGGCTTGAATCTCAACTCAACCATAAATTGTGTGGCCGAGAACAAAAACTTCATCAGATCCTTGCTGTCCAGGAGATTTAAAATATAAATTAAAGATATTCTAGCCCCACCCCGAGGATTAGAATACTATTTAACAAATTCCAAAATAATATATGCAGAAATTCATGGCAATATATGTGTCCCTTTTTGAGGAATATGACTATTTTGGAGCCACTGTCTTCCCGCCCCCCTCCCCAAAATTCCAAGAGGATACTTTGTCTAACTTGTTCATCACTGTAATCCCAGTATCTACATACCATCCACACACACACACAAATCCAAGAGCCTAGCCAGCTTATCAACTCGTCAACAGAAGCTACCATATCCTATACAGAAATATGGTGAAAAGAAATCCACAAAAACATCTTGCATGTTTTAGCTGGAGTTTAAAAACCAGTATGATTACAACAGTAACTGCATATATTTCAAAACTGTGTTTCTGGTTCCTAGCCTACAAATCCCTACTAAGTCTTACCCTTTCCTCCTAATACAGAATCCCTTAGGGGGAAGAAAAAAAGACTTAATTTTTCCACATTGTATCTTGTAATTAAAAACAAAGAAAGACCACCATTTTAAAATATTAGAGCTCCATTATACCACGACAGCAGACAAAATACATGCAAATTTATCTAGATACGAACTGACTTTATCCTTCTGTGGGAAGACAATGAAAAGCCATGAACAATTTCTGAGCAGACTAACATTTGTCAGATCTGAGCTTTAAGAAGCTAATAAAAGCAAAAACAGATGGAAGAACAGAGATTAAATCCAGTAAGTGGCTACTGCAGTAGTCCAGTGAAATGGAGTTAACGGTTTGAACTCTGCCAGTTTTTCCTATCTCAATGAATGCTCAGGCCAAAAACTAGGAGTCATCCTTGACTTCCTCTTTTTTATATCCTCATATAATCATCAGTAAATTCTGTTGTCTAAGTAAATCCAAAACATGACCACTTCTCACCACCTGTACTGCTACCACTTTAGTCTAGTAAACCATCACAGACTACTGCAAAATCTCTTAACTGCTCTCCGAGCTTCCATCTTTGCCCTCACTTCAGTTTAACGTCAAACCTCTACTTAAAATCCTCCAACTGCTTCCTATTTTGCTCAGAATAAAACTTAGAGTCTTTACCATGGCTTTGAGCCTGACATCATCCAACTCCCATTTCCAGTATGATAGCATCTCCTATTCATTATCACCACTACAGGAGGCCTGCTTCTCTTAAATTGGGAATCATGAAGACAAACTCACCCCTAATCTCCTAAAACTGGGAAAGGAAAATAATCAGCTAGTAAGATTTAAAAGTACACACACAGGGAGACAAGCAGTAACCAACAACAAAAGTGTCATAGTGACAATTTTCAAATGTTACCCTTAAGTGACACATTAGACAAATCATCTTCACTAAAATCACTGAGCCATTAGTTCAACATATACCTGTAGCCCTACTATGTTCCACGTACCCTGTTAAAGTCTAAGATTTCAGTGTGATTAAGCACACACAAATTCTTCTCTAACCCAGAGTTTATCATCCAATGGGAAAACATTTCCTGGGCACTTACCAGTTTAGTGGAATCATTCATTCAAAAAATAAAAAACATTTGCTTTCTAGGATCTCATAATGCACACAAGCTTCTATTAAAAATGTACTTTCTCAAGGAATGCAATAAAGACAAAAGAAAAATCTTTCGATCAGCACAAATGATTTAACTTATTCTATGGACATAAATCAGTCCTACCTTTTGGTCTTGACGTGAACAAATTATTACACTACTAACTAAAACCAGTTATAAGTGGGTTTCTAAGAAAATTCTGAATTGTGAACAACTGCTTAACTATAGACTATTTATCATCACTGCAAATTTATCAGCAATTACTTTAAGCATTTTTCACCAAACCAAACCCACTGCCGTGGAGTCTATTCCAACTCATAGCAACCCTATAGGACAGTGTAGAACCACCCCATAGGGTTTCCAAGGCTGTAATCTTTACAGAAGCAAACTGCCACATCTTTCTCCCAGTGGGTTTGAACCACTGACCTTTCAGTTAGCAGCCAAGTGCTTAACCACTGTGACACCAGAGTTCCTGCATCATAGATATAAAAAACTCAAAAACCCATTGCAGTAGAGTTAGTTCTGACTCATAGTGATCCTATAGGATAGAATAGGACTTCCCCATAGGGTTTCCAAGGAGCAGCTGGTGGATTCGAACTGGAACCTTCTGCTTAGCAGCCAAGCTCTTAATCACTGAACCACAGCAGATGGCAAATACATTCGGCAAGGACTAATAACAACACTATTCCCTAGAGGATAATTTATTCCAATAATAGAAATAAGTAAACAAATGCAGCTCCGGAGCTTTCTTTTTTTTTTAAAGGAAAACAGATGAATCAATGTTGTTTGTGGATTTCAGTAACATTTTATGTATAAAGTTTTAATTCAAAATGGAAACGAAGTCTGAAAACAGTTCCCAAACTTGCCTATGGATACCACTCACCTCTTCCTGCACCAAAGGAAGTTAAATAACACTAACAAGTTGTATAAAGCCTAACTACAAAATACAGTGCACACCAATTTACTTTAAAGACTCTTCAAAATACCTGTTATTAAACAGTAAGTGCCAATTTCCCTGTGTAAGAAAAAGAAGACTAAATGTGTTAGCTAAACTCTTCTAAGTATTCTATATATAGCAACTTTGCCACATCCTCACTCCCGTGTTTTTGCTTCTTTGCCAAGTGACTACAGAGAGTTTAAAAATGTATTTATACAGAGCTTCAATGCACAAATGCATCAAAAAGCAGTGTATATGAAAACACCAGCTAACTGTTTTTAGGCTTCTCTAGGAGCCCTGGTGGCGTAGTGATTAAGCATTCAGCTGCTAACCAAACGGTTAGAAGTTCGAATCCACCGGGCGCTCCTTGGAAACTCTATGGAGCAGTTCCACTCTGTCCTACGGGGTCGCTATGAGTCGGAACTGACTCGACAGCAACGGGTTTGGTTTTTGGTTTAGTTAACTATGCTGAACACGCTGCTTTTAAAGACGGTACCTACATTAAATCAACAGCAAATAGACAATGAGAAATGCGCTGAATCTGGCAGGGAAGTGCTCTTGGATGGGTACGAAAAAGTAATCTGCCAATGAAACTTTTAAGTGCACACGTAGTGACAATTTTTAGATGTCGTCCTTAAACTTCAGGCAGAATTACAACCCTCTATCAAACCAGAGAACCAGTATACCAGTCATCTTCACTAAATTGTACCTCATTAAGTCAACAGATATTTGCATCCCTACTGTGTGTCAAACACACTGTTAGGCACTGAGCTTTCAGTGTAACAACATACAAAGGTCCTATTCAGAAGGAGTTTATAAATTATCCAGTAAGACATCTTCAGGAAGTAGGGAAACAGAAAACATTCAGCGAATGAAACAAACAAAAAGGGTAAAGATTTTCCTGGAGTTTAAAAGAATCAAACACACACACGACCTGCATATTTATTTGCCTAATGTAGTAACCACTTTAATTTTTCTAACGATGTTTTCTACATACAGATTTTTACTGAACTTGGCTTCTGGTACATCTGTTAACAAAAACTAAAGAAATGAAAGTGCAAAAAGCAAAACAGGATGCATATGGGTTTTTTAAAGGTTACTTCTCCCTTTTTTATAAACAACAGGCCTGTACACACACACTCCCCCCATATACCTGCTGTGTAATATCGATATTCCTCGGGAGCCTTTTAAAGAACCCACACCCATGGAAGTTTTAAAGGTTAAACAATAGCATATAGTAAGTACAAACAGATAGCAAATAAAGTCTCTTCATTTGAAATTAGCACAAATGTTCACTTGAAATTGTTTCACAGTTGAGGGAGTAATAAACAAAAACTCTCTTTTCCTAGGTGTTTCTAAACCCTTCCTGGAGGCCCTTTCTCCCCCCACTGATCCCTTTAGACACTAGCAAGCCTTTTTTTTTCCTTTAGCAGAGGGAGTGACGTGGCAGGAGGCAGAAAATGACCCTGGAGAAGCCATGGCTAGGGCTGAGCTCGGCACCTCCTCCCTCGGCTCCACGGTGTGCACTCAGCACACTCCCACTCCGTGGAGTTACAGAATGTCTGGGTAAGAAGGGGTTAGGAGACGCGATCTGGTTGGAAGTGGGAGCTTGGGGACCAGTCTTGGAGCTGCGTGTGCATAGCAGGCATAGTTTTTATTTAGACTGAGAAGGCAGGAATGGCACTGACGGGTGCTCCAGCACTCCCCAGTCACCCCCTGGTGCCATCAGCGCCCTCTCCATTCCCACACTTTCAGATTCAGGGTAGGCGTGGAGGTAGAGCCTTCCCACCAGGAAAGCCTACAAAATGCCACGTCTTGGGCGCCCAAGACAGCAGTTTATCAACAGGTCAGGAGTCAGTGGGGCGGGGAAGCCCCGAACACAAGTCCCCCCGCTACATCCCTCTCCCAGGCGGCTGACACCCTCCCCCCAGCTCCGACCCCCAAGGAACGAAGAAATCAGGCTCCAAGGAAGCCCCCAGTCTCAAACCATGGCGGAGATGTCAGGGACGTGGGAAGAAAAGCAGCCCCGCCAGCAAACCTCTATCCGCCCCCAAATTCGCGCCGCCCTCCCTTTCCCGCTCAGTCCCCCCAAAGGCCCGACTTAGAGCAGGAGGCCTGAGGAGCGAGGAGACGCAGTGCAGGAAGGCTGGCGGAAGAAGGCGAGAGAGAAGAAGGCAGGCAACCGGGCCGGCGCCCCCCGCCCTCCCAGTCGGCTTTACTCACCGCCGGGGCCGGAGGCCGGCGCCTGGGGCTGGTGCCGAGAGAGGGAGCGGGCAGCACCGAGGAGGGCTGAGGCGGCCTGGGGCGGCAACGGCAGCTCGGATAGCCCCGGGCTCAAGAGACGCCTCCGCAGGCTGTAGGGCTAGGAGACTCCGTTGGCAGCGGCGGCGGCCTCTGGCTGCGGACGTGGCGCCCCAAGCGACCCACCCCCTCCGCCGCCTCCTCAGCTCCCGCCTCCTCCCGCGGCTCAGGCTCCGACGCTCGGGCTCCAACGCGCACGCGCGCTTGCACACTCGTGCCCCCTCCCGTGCCCACCGTGCACACGCCCACCAGTTTCTGGAACTGCCCAGCCCTCACAGCAGCCTCCCGCCCGCCCCCTCCCGCCGTGCGCACGCGCGATGCCCCTACCCCCACCCCCCGATCTCTGTTCCCGCCCCTTGGGGCCCTGGGTGCCTCCGCGGGAACCCCCAGCTGCCCTGCGCGCGCGCCCTCTTCCGGGGTTTCCCCGCCCCCTTCCCCACCGTCCAATCAGATCGGGCGAGGGGCGTGAAGCTGGGGAACGTGTTGGCTTAGGCCCCCAGGCCCTGCGCGCGAGCTACTGCGGCTTTTCGAAGCCGGTTCCGCCACCGAGTAACGGTCACTCGGAATTCATAATCTTCACCCCAGGGAATGTGGGACGGTCGCGCAGGGACTTCAACCTACTTACCGTGCCTACTACCCCTCAGCAGGGTGTTTAGCTGGGCCTTCACCCCTTTCATCACCTCGGCGGGCCACCTTACAGCCCGTGAGTGACCAACTGATAGCAGTGGGGACAGTGCTTATGTTTTGTTTTATCTTTCCTGCCTTAGAAGTGAGCTCGAGAGTAAGAATTTCTTTGGTTAGTCATAGTCACCACAAAGCTTAGTGCAGTGCCAGCGGCTCACCAGGCAATCGATATTTGTTGAAGAGAGAGGGTGTTTGGTATTGAAAAGAAAACTGAATTGGAAATTAGAAAACCTGGCTTTGTGTCCCTTCCTTACCGCGTACCGACTAAGTGCCTTTTCAAGTCTCCCAGCTTTGGCAAGGGCTCTCCTTCCCGGTATAGAAGGTGTTGAGAAGCGTGTACCAGGTAAGAGGATATAGGCCCTGGACTATTGTCCCACTTTACCAGAACCTAAGGTATAGGTGATGTGAGGCCTCCTGGGAGCTTCAAAATGGGGATTATAATAGCCACCTCACAAGACTGTTGTGAGGAGTGGACAAGATAAGGTGCGCAAATGAGGCTGAACAATGTGAGTGGTATTTATTATTAACTTCTCTTTGCCTCTCTTTCCACAGCTATAAAATGAGGATGATAATAAATCCTTCCCATGTGGGTTGAGAGGATTAAAAGAGATCGTAGGTATGAAAGTGATTTATAAACTGCAAAGTCCTATACAAATGTGAGATTTTCCTTTTACAAGACCAAATATACAAATAAAGCAACCAATAAATAACCTCACAAAATATTATTTTCAAATACAAAGTAATCCCAGTGGTGATAACTGAATACAACTGTTGATGAAGCTCTGGATAAAACAAGCTAACCAAGGAAAGCATCCTGGAAGAAGCTAAGTCTGAAACAGGTCTTAAGTGGAATGAACTAAATATAGTTTATGGCTTCAGCCTTATCAATGATTTATCAAAGCATCTAATTGAATCCACTTAGACCACAGTGCTGAGAATATCAAGATATTTTCATTTTCCAAAGCTAAAGGAGAAATTAACCTTCTCATCTGAAAATAGAATTGGATGATTAGCAGGATCTGTGGTGGTGCTGGTGGTTGTTAGGTGCCAACTCATAGTGACACTGTGTACAACAGAAGGAATCACTGCCCAGTCCTGCACCATCGTCACAATCGTTGCTATGTTGCAGCCCTTCATTGCAGCCACTGTGTTAGTCCATCTGATTGAGAGTCTTCCTCTCTTTGGATGACCCTCTACGTAGCATAATGTCCTTCTCTAGGGACTCGTCCCCCCTGATAACATGTCCAAAGTATGTGGGACATAGTCTCTCCATCCTTGCTTCTAAGGAGCATTCTGGCTATACTTTTTCCAGGACAAATTTGTTCATTCTTCAGGCAGTCCAAGGTATATTCAGTATTCTTCACCAACACCATAATTCAAATGCATCAATTCCTCTTCAGTCTTCCTTATTCTTTGTCCAGCTTTCACATGCACATGAGAAGATTGAAAATACCATGGCTTGGGTAAGGCACACCTTAGTCCCCAAAGTGACATCTTTTTAAGACTTTAAAGAGGTCTTTTGCAGCGAATTTGTCCATCATTTGATTTCTTGACTGCTGCTTCCATGGGCCTTGACCTTGGATCCAAGCAAAATGAAATCCTTGACAACTTCAATCTTTTCTCCATTTATCATGATGTTGCTTATTGGTCCAGTTGTGAAGATTTTTGTTTTCTTTATGCTGACGTATAATCTGTAGTGAAGACTGTGGTCTTTGAACATCCTCAGTAAGTGCTTCAAGTATGGTGAAAGGATACAACCTTGACACACACCTTTCCTGACTTTAAACCATGCAATATCCCCTTGTTCTGTCTGAATAACTGCCTCTTGGTCTATGGACAGATTCCTCATGAGCACAATTAAGTTTAATGGAATGCCCATTCTTCCCAGTGTTATCCATAATTTGTTATGATCCACACCGTCAAATGCCTTTACATAGTCAATAAAACACAAGTAAACATCCTTCTGGTATTTCTGCTTTCAGCCAAGAGCCATCTAACATC